GTGCGGCGGTGGGGCGGACGGGAACGGGGATTGGAAGGAGCCCGGGGCGGGGCCCTTCTGGCGCCCGTGGACAGGTGTGTTACAGGGTTAGTCCCCACCTGTTGTGGGAGGAATGTCTCCACTGTTCCCCCACTTAGGGCCCCGGGCTGGGACCCAGTGGAGAGGGTGGGCCCGGGTCCCCCACACCCCACCCCTCCTCACCTAGCCTTAACCCGCCTACAAGTCCCGTCGGAGTCACCCACAGCTCGGTGGGCGACGGGCAACTGAAACTGCGCAGTAACACGCTAAATACCTTTTTCCCCACTCCCAGCGAGGACCTTGGCCCCGGATAGGCCGCCAGGCGCTCCTCTTCCCTTCCCCCTTTATTCTACGGTCGGACTGGACCCAGCGACCCCCAAAAGGGGCCAGGACAGTGAGTTCGCTGAACCCCGGTCCGGACATCCAGCCGGGTGCTCGCACTCAAACTCGGGACAGTAACGGGTAACCATAGGAAGTGGGTCCACTGAACCCCCCTGCTCTGCCGGGAGGGGGCGCTCGCACCCATAAGGAGCCGTCACAAGGTCATACAGGTGGGGGAGTGGCACTATATGTGAAAGAAAATGTAGAATCAAACGAAGTAAAAATCTTAAATGAATCAAAATATTCCACAGAATCTCTGTGGATAGTAATTCCATGCTCCAATAATAAGAATATAGCATTAAGGATATATTATGGACCACCTGACCAGGACAATGATAGTGACTATGAAATGCTAAGGAAGATTAGAGAGGCTATCAAATAAAAAAACTCAGTAACAGAAAGGAATTTCAATTATCCCCATAATGACTGAATACATGTCACCTCAGGACAAAATGCAGACAAAATATTTCTTGATACCTTAAATGACTGCTTCTTGGAGCAGCTGGTACAGAAACCCACAAGGGGAGAGGCAATTCTTGATTTAGTCCTGAGTGGAGTGCATGATCTGGTCCAACAGATATAACAGGACCGCTTGGAAATAGTGACCATAAAGTAATAACATTTAACATCCCTGTGGTGGGGAAAAATACCTCAGCAGCCCAACACTGGCATTTAATTTCAGAAAGGGCAACTATGCAAAAATGAGGAGGCTAGTTAAGAAAAGGACCAGGAGGTATGAGGCTTGGTGAACAAGCTCACCCTCCTTACCAAATTAATAGTAGACAAACCTGTGTCATTGGGAAAAGTCATTTAGCAGGAATTAGGATGGACCATAAGAAGGAAAAAGCATGTGAAAGGGGAAGGCAAAAAGTTTGGAGCCCTATGGGCATAGTTGAAGGAATAAGGAAAGTAGCTTTGAAAGGACAAAGCAAATGATCTGAGGGAATGTGAAGATAAAAGGTGGACTCCATGGGAGTGTGGAAGGAATTAAGTGATGGTTGTAATATGTAAAGGGAAATCTTGTTTTAAAATGACACCTTGTTTCTTTGCAGCCTCTTCCTTAAGCACTGTGCAAACCATCTAGGCAAAGAAACAATCGAATATAAACATTTTGTCTATGGACACCTTTGTTAAATCTGCAAAGGAAAATTAGGGATTCTACTGAAACTTAATTGATTAAGTGCATAAAGGAATGAGCTCTATATATTGTAACACTATTTTGTAGGTTTCAAATGAACTAGTTTTATTTTGTTTTGGATAATGTCCCCTTGCTTAAAATTGCAAACAGACAAGGCACAAATTGGTTAGTGCTTCTGTTGGGCATTCAACTCTTAAGGTTAAATTTAACTTTCTAAAAACCAAATTATTAGTTTAGAAATTCAAGCTTTGAAACTTAACTGTCTCTTTTCAAGGCTCAGTTGATAACACTTTTGGCTTGCTTTTAAATTCAACATTATATGTGAATATAGGCTGCCTGGCTATTTCAAAGGAAAGTGGACAGGGAAGGCTGCTGCTGTCTCAGTAGACACATCCACTGCACCTCTGACCACAAACATAGAAGGAACAGCTCAGCTTGCAGAGCTGGCAGCAATTAAATTAGCTTGAGAGGCAGGTACCAGTACCATGTACACTAACTCCTATGCTATATGGGCTGGAGCCACCCAGTGGATAACTAACTGGGAAATAGGAGGAAAGTCTGTTTGGAGATTGGAATATTGGAAATGGATATACCAGCATGCAACCCAACATGTCTTAAGCATAAGTTATGTGTCCAAAAGAATAACACTCTAGCTGCACAGCTAAATAACCTAGCAGATGCAGCAGTACAAATTTTTGCTGCCCAGGTGGATTGGGAACGCCTGTACATTTGGCTACATGAAACCTTGGGACACATAGAAAGCGATGAGCTGGTGCAGCAGGCACATGCCAGGGGGTGGCCTATCACTCACAAACAAGCCAAAGATCTGGTACAAGCTTGCACCCTATGTACTGAACTCGGGAAACATATAGCAGAAGGGCAACGGTTTGCCAGGCTAAGAGATGGTTGGGCAACCTGGCAAGTATATTATATTGGTCCACCACCCACCAGTAAGCAAGGGTGGAAGTATGTTTTAACTGGAGTAGAAATTGTTTAAGGAATTGGTTTTGCTTACCCAACCCGATGGACAACAGGGTTGTTTATGATCATGGGACTAAACCGCTCAATAGCCCTTGTCCCAACACCCCAGTTTGGGAACACAAACCCATTTACTGCACTCCTACAAGGGAAAAGGAGTCTGGACCACTGCAGATGCTGGGCTAACACCAATAACCATTACTGAGGCTTGGATTGTATCCAAGACCAGCAAACCTTATGTTTTATCACAGGAAACTGAGGCAATGACCCTGACAAATGCTCCAGTGGGATGAATCCCTCCCAATGCTGGTGTGGATCCAGGAAACCACCATGAACTTTTTGTATATATTTACCACTTGCTGTTGTAGCGCTTGCAACTACTGTTGTTAGTTACAGACTATTGAAATGAGACATGGCACTCCAACTCGCCATGGTGTTCTTCCTCATCCCAACTGCCACTGATGTACCAGAACACCTTACTTGACTCCTCTACTGGACTGGGAATAGAGTTTGTCCCTTTCAGCCCAAATGACTGGTGAAACAAGAGTGACATCTTCTGATGGGGACCGGTATGGTTCGATGACAGCGACTACCACAATCCTCAAAATAACTTTGGGGGGAGGCAAGGGAAGTGGCAACGAACGGTATGGGATAAGACATGCTGTAACTAAGAATGTAAACAACTCATGGCTAAATTGGTTAGCCCAACAGCTAAAACTTTCCTTAACTCCTTTCCTACACTCTATTATAACCACTGTTTTAATTGTTTTGATTGTTATACTTATTTTCTGCATAAACCTATGCATTGTGCAATGCCTAATTAATGTAGCTATCTCTTGTGTGCACATTTGATATGGAGCACTAGGAAAGGACCCTAGTCAATTCCTAGATCCTGAACCCTCTAATCAGGCCATTGGGTACTTTTAGATTCCTCCAAGGTGAGGTGCTGGCAAACCACCATCTTGCATTCCTGGGACGTGGTGTGTCGTATCAGGGGGTGGAATGTACCCAGACAGACCGCCCCCCCCCCGTCAAACCAATCTTGCTTGACCTCTGAGATGCCTGTATACAGGGCAGAGAAGGAACAATAAAGAAAGAAGCTGAAAACATAGATATGAGGAGAGAACGATTAAGGCAATAAGCTGAGATCGAGGCTGCAAGAAGTGCCCGGCTGGCACCCATGTTGATACGAACACACAGCCGTCCCTGGGAGAGGAATCCTCCACTGAGAAAAGAATCTCCAGAACTTCCAATTTAATCCTCTCAACTCTCTCTTACAAGTGTAAATTAAGTTCACAACTCCCTTGTAAGAACTGGTCTCACAGCAGACAGACCAGCATCAATTGGCAATTAAGATAAGAAAGAGAAATACGTGACCCCATGATTATAAAAGATGGGCCCAGCACACACTCACTTTGAGTGTCATTCTACCCTCTACCTGCTGGTCGGGTTAGGTGTTTGACCTCCCGAGGTTCTATGGGGACGCCCACCTCGTATTTTCGTCTTTCCTAGGAATTGAGGGACCGGCCCTGGCCTGACATGCTGGAGTCGAGAGGCACAGAAGGGGGTAAAAATGGTACCTGGATGTGGTCCTCTGTCTTAAGTGTACACATAGAAAGAGTAAGCTGTTACTTGGTACCATTATTTCTATTTTTCTATCTTTATCTTCTTTGTAACCATTTTAAGACCTATATTTTGCTAATAGTAAAGAAATAGAGCAATAGCCATTGTAACCATATGATTTATAAGCTTCTTTAATAAACCTGTAACTGTTTAAGCTTTAACCTGACTCCTTCAGTTGCTGTAACAGAACCAAGCACAATTTAAAAGAACTTCAGCCGGTCTAAAGGGACAGTTATAGGAAGAGCTTGGGCGTTTGGATCTGTGTCACTCCCAGGTGACAGGACCCACTGGGGCATCTTTCAGTCTTTCCTCAAGGCTGCCCGCTGCGAAGGAATTATGAAATTCTAGCAGCTGAAATCTAAGATGTAATAAGCTCTTCCTATATAACGGGGCGTCTGTTGGCCTGCTGGCCACCCTCTGCGATGGGACCCCGGTCCTAGCAGTAAAGGCACGGACGTTAAACCTTTTCTCGGAAACACACACACACACACTGCCCTGACCGTCAGCTGACAGAATTGGCGTAGTCGGCAGGATTGTGCTACTGGTTCACATACAGCAACATGAAGCCTGTCATGATAGACATGGATTTTAGTGGTATAGAGAAAGGGTTTGCCCAGGAAGGTTGGGGCAACCCAAAATGGGATAGAGAAATGTTAGAAAAGGATTGGGGAAATCCTGAGGAGTTGTGGGTGCAGTTCTGTAAGTATAGAACTGCCTGCAAGCTAAAGAATGGGACAAAGCCTGGGGGTACGTCTACACTACAGCGCTAGTTCGAACTAAGTGGCCAGAGATGAGCTGCCGTGGCTCTTTAAAATCAGCGGGGCCATGTCACACCAGCGTCCTGGCATCCCGCCCCGCATCCTTGCGCCAGAGCTGCACGCCGGCAGCCCAGTGGCAAGAATCACCGCACTTCCTCCTTCCCAGCAGCGCTCTGCTCCTCAGCCAGCCGGCGGATTGGATGGGGCCGCGCCACCCATAGTGCAGGCTTTGGCCAGCTCCACCCCTGCACTTGCCAGCTGATAAAATCTACTCACCACAGGCGAGTGGGCGAGTGCATTTGTCGAGCCCTGCCAATATGCATTACTTTACACAGGCTAGTGTATTTGTCGAGCCCTGCACATTGGAAAAAATAATCCCAACTATATATACAATATGATGGGAGCTAATTTAGCTACAACTAATCAGGAAAGAGATCTTGGAGTCATCGTGAATCGTTATCTGAAGATGTCCATGCAGTGTGCAGCAGCAGTCAAAAAAGCAAATAGAATGTTAGGAATCATTTAAAAAGGGATAGAGTATAAGACAGAAAAGATCTTAATGCCTCTATATAAAACCATAGTATGTCCACATCTTGAATACTGCACACGGATGTGGTTGCCTCATCTCAAAAAAGATATATTGGCATTGGAAAAGGTTCAGAAATGGGCAACAAAAATGATAAGGGGTTTGGAACGGGTCCCATATGAAGAGAGGTTAAAGAGACTTAGACTTTTCAGTTCAGAGGCAGCAAGGGGGTGGAAAGTAGGACCAGTGCTGGAGGGAGCCAGCTTAAAAGTTGGTTCCTCCCAGCACCATCTCAGCAGGGGCACAGAGGAGTCAGAGGCACAGAGAAGGACCTGGCGCGAGCTGGGACAGAGCAGTCCCAACTCGTGCTAGGACCCAGATACTGTGCCTCTGCTTTTTAAATGTACTAAGAGACACCAATATGATTAGCTTACTAACTGCTATTTAACATCCCTAGTGTGGTCCATGACTGATGTTTTTTCTGATGGCCAGTGGCCCCTGATAGGAAAAGGTTCTCCACTCCAGATCTACACACTGTCGGTGCATTAGCTTTCTTTACTGTGACTCCTGACATCTGGAACATTCCTTAGTTTTCTCTCTCATACATAGTTTTAATTGAAATCACAGTTGAAAATATGGTTCAAAATTCATTTCTCATTTACACTGGTGAAACCCAGACTAGCTGAATTGAAATAATTGGATTTACATCTCTTTTGTCCTGCGAATCTGACCTCTCTCCTCTATTTTACTCATGCCCCAATATTTTTCCCCTTCCATTACTATTATGGCTATAGCACACACAAAACCACATTAAAAAATTGATTGCAAAATCAAGCCTTCAAAAGGTAAGAAATGCCTGAGTTAAGGCTGCCTCTACAAACCTTAATTCAGCTCCCTTACACAGATGCATTATTGTAATCTTTAATTTCATCTATCTATTTGTCTGAGTGTCTGTCTGTCTGTTCATGAATGCCTCCTCAGCAGTAAGCGCTAGGACCACCCAATCGGTCCGCAGCTGCTGCTTCTCCTAATTTAAGGTAAGTTCAAGGTTGGGTTGTGCCAGGAAAATGGAAAGTGCCTCTAAGGGGAGCGTATTCCGTAACATGGACTGGGAAGGTCTGTTCGAGGGATGCTTTACTTACACTCGCCTTGCCCCTATCGCTCCCTGAGGGGCGGGGGACACCGGGTAAGACCGTAACCCCCCTCACTCATCCACCCACCCACCAACCTGCGGCCCCGCAAGGCGCGCTGCGCAGTGTCT